CACACAGAATTGTGGTCCAGCCAAGTTGACACACACCTCCAACTATCACAATCCACCCCTTGTCAACTTGGCAGTTGTACACATCTTCTTAACCATATATAATCTCTAAATAAGGACAATTATAAAGTCATATTTGTACCTAATATGATACGCTAACACACATACAACCCAAATGCATTAACCTTATTTACATTTCACAGTTCAAAACAGAAAGAAACAAAAATATTTGATACACATATACAATGAAGAAATATAACAATCACAGTCCTCGTTTCTGCAACTGGTCATGTGGTTGTAGCTGATACTCAGAACTACCTTCTTCCACCACCCATTCTGTATTTCCCTTGTCCTTAGCAAGCACCTCAGCTGGTCGAGGTTCTTTGCCTGGTGGGGTGACCCAAACTTTCATTCCTGAAGGGTCTAGGCCATTAGTAGTCATATCAGAATTGGGTTGCTGTAATTTTCCATTGACTTTAGTCACAGGGCATGGTAGTACTAAGAGATTTCCTAAAGAGTCTCCTATATTCCAGACATATTCTTCTTTACCTCCATTATGTAATGTCAGTCCAATTGCCCCTTGGTAACCAGGATCAATCACACCAGATAGTACAATAACGCCCTTCTTTGTCTGTTGATCCAGAGGCATGAGGAAGCCAAAATGGCCAGGTGGCATTCTTAGTTTCTATGAAATCAGTATTGTGCTTCCAGGTGGGAGTGTTCTTCCCTTTGGGACTAGAATCTCCAGACGCGCAGAGCATAGGGTAGCAGTGACAAGAAGAAAAAATTTTTTGAGTGGGTCACTAAGGGTAATGGTGAATGGTACCACTCCCATTTCCACCCCTTGGTTCCTGGACCCATGAATCCTGGCTATTGAAGAAATAGAACCATATATTGGATGCTGGTTTAGAGCATATACAGGCTCCTGGAGAACACTGCCCCAACCCTTCAATGCATTGCTGCCTAGCTGGCACTGTAATTGTGTTTTCAGTAGGCCATTCCATCATTCCATCAAGCCAGCTCCTTCAGGATGATGGGGAACATAGTAAGACCAGTGAATTCCATGAGCATAGGCCCATTGCCACACTTCATTTACTGTGAAGTGAGTCCCTTGATCTGAAGCAATGCTGTGTGGGATACCATGACTGTGGATAGGGCATTCTGTAAGTCCACAGATGGTAGTTTTGGCAGAAGCATTGTGTGCGGGGAAGATGAATCCATATCCAGGGTATCTATTCCAGTAGGAACAAAATGCTGTCCTTTCCATGATGGAAGTGGTCCAATGTAATCAACCTGCCACCAGGTTGCTGGCTGATCACCCTGAGGAATAATTTCATATCGTGGACTCAGTGTTGTCTCTGCTGCTCGCAGATTGAGCATTCTGCACTGGTGGTAGCCAATCGGCCTTGGTAAGTGGGAGTCCATGTTGCTGAGCCCATCCATAACCTCCATCCCTGCCACCATGGCCACTTTGTTCATGGGTCCATTGAGCAATAACAGGAGTAGCTGGGGAAAAAGATGGCTGGTTTCCACTGAATGTGTCATCCTATCCACCTGATTGTTAAAAGTCCTCCTCTGCCAAGGTCACCCTTTGGTGGCCATTCACATGAGACACAAATATCTTTACTCCTTTGGCCCATTCAGACAGATCTATCCACACACCTTTTCCCCATACATCCTTGTCACCAATTTTCCAATCATGCTCCTTCCAAGACCCAGACCATCCAGCCAAGCCATTAGCCATAGCCTGTGAATCCGTATATAAACACACATCTGGCCATTTCTTATTCCATGCAAAGTGAACAGGCATATGCACGGCTCGAAGTTCTGCCCATTGGGAGGATTTACCTTCACCACTGTCCTTCAAGGAAGTCTCACAGGCTGTAGTGCTGCTGCTGTCCACTTTCGAGTGGTGCCTGCTATCGCAAGAACCATCTGTAACCCAGGCACGAGTTTTCTCTTCCTCAGTCAACTGATTATATGGAACTCCCCATGAGGCCATAGGTGCAGACTGGGAGAGGGAAGGTAATGTGACTGGAGTGGAGACCACAGGCATTTGGGCCACTTCCTCATGCAACTTACTTGTGCCTTCAGGTCCTGCTCAAGCCCGATCTCTGATATACCACTTCCATTTAATGATGGAGTGCTGCTGTGCACGTCCAACTTTATGACTCTGTGGGTCAGACAACACCCAGTTCATGATGGGCAGCTCAGGCCTCATGGTCACTTGGTGGCCTGTGGTTATGTGTTCAGTCTCTACTAAAGCCCCATAACAAGCCAAAAGCTGTTTCTCAAAAGGAGAGTAGTTATCTGCAGAGGATGGCAGGGCTTTGTTCCAAAATCCCAAGGGTCTACATTGCGATTCACCAATAGGGACCTGCCAAAGACCCCAAACAGCATCTCTATCTAGTACAGACACTTCAAGCACCATTGGATCAGCCAGATCATATGGCCCAAGGGGCAGAGCAGCTTGCACGGCAGACTGAACCTGTTGCAGAGCCTTCTGTTGTTCTGGGCACCACTCAAAACTATCAGTTTTCCGAGTCACTTGATAAAGAGGCTGTAGCAACACACCCAAATGAGGGATATGTTGCCTCCAAAATCCGAAGAGGTCCACCAGACATTGTACCTCCTTTTTAGTTGTGGGGGACGCCAGATACAATAATTTATCCTTCACTTTAGTAGGAATATCTCAACATGCCCTATATCATTGAACCCCTAGAAATTTCACTGAGGTGGAAGGTGCGTGAATTTTTGGGGGTTAATTTCCCAACCTCTAGCAAGCAGATAAGGCTGGCGGTTCAAACCCACCAGCCACTCCTCGGAAGGAAGGTTGGGAAATCCTACTTCTTTAGTGATACTGCCTCAGAAACCCAAGGAGGGGTCGCTATGAGTCGGGGCCGACTCGACGGCAAACAACAACAACAGCAAGCAGATGTATCACCAGTAAGTCTAGAGTTATCGATACTTCTTCCTTACTAGGTCCAATCAGCATGATGTCATCAATATAATGGATCAGTGTGATGTCTGTCTTGTGAAAGGTGATCAAGATCCCTATGGACTAAATCATGACATAGTGCTAGAGAGGTGATATACCCCTGAGGAAGCACTGTGGAAGTATACTGTTGGCCTTGCCAGCTAAAGGCAAACTGCTTCTGATGGTCCTTTGAAATTGGTATTGAGAAAAAGGCATTGGCCAGATCAACAGCTGCATACCAAGTACCAGGAGATGTATTAATTGGCTCAAGCAATGAAACCACATCAAGAACAGCAGCTGCAACTGGGGTCACCACCTGATTAAGTTTACGATAATCTACTGTCATTCTCCATGAGCTGTCTGTTTCTTGCACAGGCCAAATAGGGGAATTAAATGGGGAAGTGGTGGGAAGCACCACCTCTGCATCCTTCAAGTCCTCGATGGTGGCAGTAATCTCTGCAACCCCTCCAGGGACGCGGTTTGCTTTGGATTTGCTATTTTTGTAGGTAGAGGCTTCCACTTGGCTTTTCCTACCATAATAGCCCTTACTTCACATGTCAGGGAATTCACATGTGGGGATTCTGACAATTGCTCAGTCTATCTATTCCAATTATGCATTCTGGAACTGGGGAAATCACTACAGGATGGGTTCAGGAACCCACTGGACCCACTGTGAGATGCACCTTCACTAAGACTCCATCAATAACTTGACTTCCATATGTCCCCACTCTGACTGGTGGGCCACAATGACGCTCTGGGTCTCCTGGAATTAGTGTCAGCTCAGAGCCAGTGTCCAGTAATCCCTGAAAAGTCTTATTACTTCCTTTTCCCCAATCAACAGTCACTCTCGTAAAAGGCCTCAGATCTGTTTGGGGAAGTCTGGGAGAAAGATTGACCCCATTGTTGCTGCTAGACCTGTAACTAAAATTAAGTCCAAGTGAGCGCTAAAAGGTGAAATACAAAGTGTGACTGAGGAGGTAGTATGCTACACCTGAAAAGACCTACTTGATTTTGCTAACATTTACTGTTAGAAACCTGGAGGATATGTATAGGAATGGCTACTGAGGGTGTGGGATGATGGTGCAAGGAATGTAACATTGGATCAGCCTGAGTTTATCGATTTTAGGCCCATTAAGTACAGATTCTTCATTCAGTGTTTCAGCTCAAGAGGTCAGGAAAGGATCTAATAGTTTATTTGGTTGTCAAGCTGAATTACCAGACCTACCTTGGTATAATGTAGAAGGAAGGTATCCAGAGGCTTAGGGAAATTGGCCTGTTA